CTTACAAATACGCTGTTGATTTATTTCTAAATGAGATTAAAAACAAAAACCAGTATATTTTCATGCTATCTTTACCAACTAAAACTATAAATGGTTTTTCCTTTTCAAATACTTGCAGATAAAAATCATGCGCTCTGGCATAACGAGGTAAGTTTTTGAAATGTTTCAAACAATATTAATGAAAATTCTCTCACGACTCAAAATTTTACAAGAATTAAGAAATTTTAAACAGACACAAATTGGACCAAGCAGGTTCCACTAAATTAAACTAAACATTTTCCGACCGGTCAATTTCCAGAAGTTTCTTACAATTAAAAAAAAAAAAAAAGCTTTGTTTGTTTTTATAATTATTATTAGTAGATATTTAGTTTTTCTACACGAATGATGATATTAATTACCGTATGAGTATATTCAATGACTAAAACTCAACGGCTGCGCTTTTTGGCGTACTGATTTGGATTGATGAAATCTATTTTTTCATTGCCCTTCATTTTGCTACAGCATATAATTAAAAAAAAAAAACTTGTTTGTTTTTTTTTTTCAGGAATTCCTATAGTATACCAGTGTATTTTGATTTCCTGATGGTGATACAAAGCTCTGTTACGAAAATTGTAAATATCGTATTAGCGTCCATTCCAATAAACATTGTAAATACGAGATTATGACAAGTGCTAAGAAATTTTATCTGAATTTCTACTTTGAAGCCAACATATTCTATGAGTTTATAAAGGTAAGTAAATTTTGATTTCGACTAATTCCTTTAAATCTAAATGATGTTACTAATTACCGTATGAGTTTACATACAGTGACTTAATCTTGACGGCTGCGCTTATGCGTTCTGATTTAGTAAGCAAGTGAAAATATGAAATTGAAATAATGTAAGATTATTAACATAACTGAATTTATGTTTGTACATATTTTTATTTCTAAGTAGCATTTTTAGAAAGAACAAAAATTTCTATTTTTTTATTGAAGATTTATGGCCTTATCCGTAGAAAAAATATATATTTAAAGCACTATAAAGTGACATTTTCATACAAATTTTCGATTTATATGTAAATCAGTTAGTCTGCTTTATTTTTTATGAATTTGGGTGTTAAAGCATAAAACATTTTATCATCTTTCACTTGCTTATTTACTTAGTTTAAGCATAAAAAAAATAGATATTTTGTTCGTTACAATTGTTACAACAGCCTTTTTTTTTAATTTATAGGTGGATGCAACTGCCGTTCAATCAAATGATAATAGCGATATCAATTGAAAAGGTAAATAGTTCGTGCTAAGCAACTTCTTATAACTTTTAAGTATATTTTTAATTCTAATTAATTCTGTATGATGATATTAATTGGTCCGTGTTTATGAATTTATATTGATTTTCACCTTTCCAATTACTGATTGACAAAAAATAACAGTTCTATTCAGCTATTTAGGGATAATAAGTTAAAAAATGCCTTGAGCAATTTTCCCTATCAGAAGAATTTGCCGTATACTCGAGACACAATTATATGTATTTTATTTTTTATTTTTTTGAGAAATATAAATTACTTTGACTTGTTGAACGCCGAAGGCACGGTTTGTCACTTCACTCTACTAGAAGCCGTTGAGACGTCCGCGCCGGTACAACAATGTCCTATCTACCGTTCTGAGTGTTCGACAGTCGCCAGTACTTTCCCTAGATTAAATCTCGAAGCAAAGAAGAATTAACATCGAGTTGTAGCAGCATAGAAATTCCGTGTTGTAGGGACGATTTAATATACTGTGAACATGAGCATGCATTAAAGGCGAAACAACAGGTCCCCTCTCCGTTT